GGGTGTCTACACCACAGCCCCCCAGTTTCTTAACGAGAACGGGGTGAGAGACAGTGTCAAAAGCCTTCCAGAAGTCCAGGAAGACTATGTCCATTTTGAATAAACTTGTTACATTAAAAAAATATCTTTATGACATGGGAGTCTGAAAAAATAGAATCTTTTCCTACTTTATAAAACATTTTGTGGTATGTATTTAGATACATTTCTAGTTTGTACTTTTAGAAGTTCATATGGAAATCTAATAAAAGCACAACATTTGCATACTAAATGATGCCATATGAGGCTGTGCAGAAAGCAATTATCTGACAGTATATTTCTACTGAATGTCCGATTCAGCTGTAAAATAATTTTGGCTTCATCCAAATCCTGCATTTATAATACAGGCAATTACTAATCCCTAAACACACATATAAAACTGTATTGGTTTCTGTGTAAATCACAGGTTAGTTAACTGTTGGAAAAAAATTAGAACACTAATCTCATAAATTGCTCATTCAACTCTTATTATAGTTTATATTTTTGTAATCCTCATTACGGTAGAAAGAAGAAAGCCCTGGGGAAAAAAAATAACTTCAGCTAGTACATGTGGTTAAAAAGGCAAAAAAGAGTACTGGCAGGCTTTTTAAACAAACAAAGTTAATTCTAAATGATCTATAACATACTTAAACAAATAAAACCAAAGCAAAACAACTCTCACCCTTCTCTTTCTCTATTTTAAATTAGTAATTTTCATTGCAAGACCCTGATTCTGATCTTGCATATTGGTCTAAATCTAGATTACTGTCAGTGAATCTAATGAAGTTAAAAACACGTCACTCCAAACAGAGTCAAAAGGTTCTTTTTGATCATGGAAGATAAACGCAGTGTCAAAATAAAATTCCCCAAATGTAAATTGAACTGGCCATATAATAATAGAATTCCACATCGTTGTTAGCAATGCCTTAATCTCAAGATCTATTTCCCTTGACCTGTCCCTCCTCATGCAGTCAAAATAACATAGCTGGAAGGCTAAAAGACCTGGGCTGTAGTGGGTCAATGGGCAAAATAAGCTCCTTGTGGCAAGTGTCTTGCAAGCTGTCATACCAATTTAAAGTTGAGATGCTGCCACCAAAAATTCATCTCTAGTTACAGTTGTGTTGGCACTGCGCAGGGGGACAGGCAATTTCTAAGATTCCCAAATGATTTAGCAATTTACTTTAGAACCCTTGTAAGGTTTGTAATGTTTTATAAAAGACAGCCTATATAATTAAATTCTTTTTTCCGTAAATAACAAGTCTTGGACTGTGAATTTACTAACACTGGTTCCTCCACTGTTGCCTGCAACATAAGAGGAATACAGCAGAGTACCAAAGAAAGAATGTATGAAGACATTTAAATGACTTGTATCTTTCCTTTCTATGTTGCAGCTGCGTATCATGTGAATATTGCATCTGTAATTACAGCAGAACAGATGGTGAGGGTTGTGTTTAAAGCATATACATTACTATAACATATGCTGCCAAGTCAATTGCTCAATCTAACAATGACTTGTTTTCTCTTAAGGGTCTGATCCAAGAGCTCTTATATAGGCAAAAAGCCCAAAGAGTCCAATGAGGTTTTTTGCCTCCACAGGGAATTCAGGCTTGGGTTCTCAGGGTTTCATGAATTCTCTCATCTGAAATGTATTAGAAGGAAACAGGCTGCAGACTAGCTTCCCTGCATTCAGGAATTCTCTCGGGTGCAGATTTCAGTGACAAAGTTCCATATTTGAAGCGCCACAAAAAAGCCACATATTCATAAATTCAGAGTCCTCATTCTTAAGTAATCCATGAGTAGGTCCTTTGATAATAGTGCTGACACTTGACTGGGGACACTTGGTTAGGGATGATCCTGCTTTGAGCAGGGAGCAGCACTAGAT